CACTAAGGTGAATGGCACGGTCCAAAGACCGATTTAAACGCTAGTCTTTGAGTATTTTTGCTTTTTTCTCTTTTTTTCTTATTATCGTACACGTGTGGGCTGATCCAGGGCAATCAAAATTTACGTATTCCCGTTACTGCAAAAGTGTCAAGACTCCTGGTGGGGTTCATTTCATTAAACATAAAAGGCACAGATGTATTTTGAATCATGTACACAAACATTTCTCGATTTAGAATTTCTTTAAATTTCAATTTAATATTGAAATTTATTGTTTCCGTAAGGTATTTGTATTTTTTTGTTTTTTTTTTTTGGTAAAAGGCTCAGATAAAGGATCGCCGAGTGGATAGCGCTCATCTAACAGAAATGATAGAATGATCTTGTAGTGATAAAGTTTCACCCGAAACTTTTGTACTCAAGAGTTTATGAGTCAATGGAATACAAAGCTAATCCGTGTCAAAAGGATCAGGATCAATATCTTGATCTCATAAAAATGCAGATCTTTGTATTATAGTTGCGAGCTGATTTTAGCGTTAGCATTAGAATCATTCACGTAAGTCATAAAGTAGAATTGTTTAATGAACCATCGAAAATATAACTGCTCAATGAATAATAAATGTAGATCATTACAATCATTTTCCTGACCATAATAATAAGACAACTTGATCGGTATATCATAATTTATTTTGTTTAACCTAGCAAGTTTAACGCTTTAACAAGTCTAATAAGCCTGACACAATTTCCTTTTAAAAACCTTAGTTATTGTATTGGTATTCTGTAATTTTAAACATTTCTGCTATGGCATAATCCATTATATAAGTTGCCGTCAATAGAAACAAGGTAAATCTCTTATTTCTATTGACGGCAGCCCATATGCTACAAATAAGATGTTTATATTACGTTAATGAACTGTTTAAATTGCACAATGATTAACTAAAAAAAACTATTCGTTTCTTCTTTTGAATATAAGTTCAACCGGAAGCGGTGACATAGTTCCAGAATATGCCACGTCAATTTTTAACCCATCCTTATGTATGCTGTTTGGTGTTAATGAGATTTCGTATTTACGTACTGTAAAAATATAATAGGAATTAATTTAAATATTATAAAAATGAAAATTTCTTAGTTTACACGTAGTGTATCGTACACGGGCGGGTATTAATTTGCAAATTTGTATAACGTGCAAATCAAAATAATTCGTATAAAACCAAGAATTGAAGGTTAGGATAAGGTTGGATTGGGGATGATGGCTTATACCAAAATTTCGCAAGGAATTTTTTTTATTAATACCCGAAAGGTGGTTTCATAAGCGAAATTTTGAGTTATAATCGACTTTTTAGCAATAATTTTGCGTTATACCTTATCGTGTAATCTGATTGGCTTTCTTATTGCCCGTGTATAATACACTAAGTTGCTGGTGAAACTAAATTGTGTTGGTGAAACTGGTGACTATCTAAAATTTGATTGGCTATTGCATTTAATAGCCAATCAGATTTTAGATAGCCACCAATTTCACCAGCACAATCAACAACTCTAATATACACATAGTGTACAAATAGAAATTTTCTATCAAAATTTATACAATGATAAATAAATAAAACTTACATAACAAGCATAGCACAATTCTTTGCTCAATAAACGAAAAGTTAAGTCCCAAACACCTATCCATTTAAAAAAAATACATAAGCTATATTCATAAATCATACAATTAGAAAAATATAAAAATTTACTTTCTGGATCCATCACCAAAACCCAACCAGGAACGAAATTCTCCATGTTCATGCTGTTCGTTTTCAAATCTTTCAGGTAAAAACTCTTCTGGATTTTTCCACAGCTTTGGCGAATGATGTATTCCATATATAAATAATTGGATACATGCGCCAGCTGGAATTACATGACCGCGGCATTCTACGTCTTTTGTTGTTTTACGTGCTGGTAAGATTGCAATCTATTTAATTAATTCAATCAGGTTAAAAAAAAATTTTTTTTATAAGCAATATGAAGCGAAAAGAAATCTATATTAACCGGTGGATATAATCTAAGATTTTCATGAAGAATCATATCCAAATATTTTAATGATTTTTGTTGCTCTAACGATGGTGTTGAATCATCACCAAGTACTCTTAAGATCTCTTCCCGAGCTTTTCGTTGGACATCCTGCATAAAAATAAACAGCCTTAATTATCAGTTAAATGTAAAAGTTATAAATAATAATACTTACTTTATGAGCTGCTAAAAGATATAAAACTGTTGCCAAAGAATTCGCAGCTAAATTCGTAATAGATTTATTAAAATACGGAGTATATAAAAATACCAATAAACAATAATATATATTACATAATTAGTACTCACTTGTGTCATGACCTGCAAGCATAAAAACACCCAAATTATTCTACAAAAGAATTATAATTTTCGTTATAAAAAAAGAGAAAAAAGCAAAAATACTCAAAGACTAGCGTTTAAATCGGTCTTTGGACCGTGCCATTCACCTTAGTG